TTGTTCCACTGGTTAATTGTCCTCACTGTCAGGAAGTTTCTCCTTAGTTCCAGGTTGCTTCTCTCTTTGGTCAGTTTCTGACCATTGTTTCTTGTCCTGCCCTCTGCTGCTTTGGAGAATAATTTGACCCCCCTCTTCTTTGTGGCAGCCCCTCAAATACTTTATCAAAAGTCTTCAGATGTCAACTTCGAGGATTGAAATTCTAATTATGCTAGATTCTCCAGCTGGATGGGTCCAGATTTGTTGGTGGGCTGAGTGTACATCATATGCTATCTTGCAATATGAGACAATAAGGAGAGACTTTTATACAAAATTTGGCTAGTATATTTTCAAATGGGTCAGGATTCAGCAAAACTTGTATGCATCTTATTTCAAGTAAGAACGCAGATCATAGGACTGAAGGGAAAAAATGCCCCCATTCTCCAATTACTTACTTATTAAAAGGAAAAGTGCAGATTTTTTGTAAGGGCTCAGTTTGTAGCAGATGCATTGGAAGGGCTGGAAGGGACAGTAATAAACTGTAAATCATTTTCTGATCTTCTCCAGAATGCCATGGCCTGCAGCATTTTACCAGAAAGAATAGGAAAGAAACACTTTTAAGAAGAAAAAAGAATAGAGAGAAGAATAGTTGGAAGGGACCTTGAAGATCTTCTAGTCCAACTCCCTGCTCAAGCAGGAGACTCTATATCATTTCAGACAAGTGGCTGTCCAGTTTCTTCTTAAAAACCTCCAGTGATGAAGCACCCACAATTTCTGATGGCAAGCTGTTCCAGTTAATTGGTTAATTGTTCTCACTGTTAGGAAGCTTTTCCTTAATTCCGGTTGCTTCTCTTCCTTGATTAGTTTCCATCCATTGTTTCTTGTCTTGCCCTCTGGTGCTTTGGAAAATAAGTTGACCCTCTCTTTGTGGCAGCTCTCAAATACTGGAATGCTGTTATTGTGTCACCCCTAGTCCTTATTTTCTCAAGCTTAGCCAAACCCAAATCCTGCAACCATTCTTCATATGTTTTAGTCTCCAGGTATTTACTCATCTTAGTTGCTCTTCTTTGCACTTTTTCCAAATTCTCAACATCTTTTTTGTAGTGTGGTGACCAAAACTGGATGCAGTATCCCAGGTGTGGTTTTATTAAGGTTTTATAAGATGGTACTAATACTTCATGTGATTTTGATTCTATACTTCTGTTTGTACAAACAAGGATTGTATTAACTTTTTTGGCTACTGTTGCACTCTGCTGGCTCATGTTTAAGTGATCATCCACTAGGACTCAAAGGTCCCTCTCACAGTTACTGTTTTTTGAGCCAGGTTTTGCCTATTCTGTATTTATGCCTTTGGTTTTTCCTGCCTAAATGTAAAATCTTGCTTTTCTCCTCATTAAATTTCATTTTGTTGGATAGGGCCCATTGTTCAAGTTTGTCAAGATCTTTTTGGATGCTAAGCTTGTTGCAAACAGGAGAAACATAATAAGGCACGGTTGCTTATTATGATAAAAATTTAGGAATACTCATCTCTGGCAGCAAATACATCTTTGACAAAAGAGGTGGAAGTTTGGGCTTTTTTCCAGGGGTGATGGATAACACCCAGTTCATATGCCAATTTCATTCTAAGCATTCTTAGGGGACTGTTTGGTTTTAAAACTAATGTAATACTTATTGAGAGCTGGCTAGATTTTTTTTTGGCCAGATACTCTCTTTTCCCATTCCACTACTCTGATATAATAAAAAATTGCAAATTCTGCATTTATCTTTAAATTCCATCAACTGAGGCAGTTCCCTCTTTAGAAATCACTTGGCTATTATTCTAAAATGTAGCAATTATCAAAATGGTGAGTCATTTGCATTGCCAGAATTTAAAATAATGTCTGGTTTGGTATTTAGATTTAGGAGAATAAGAATATCATTTAGAGAGTTACACACTTTTAAAGCTTACTAGTTTCAATGGAAACCATATTAATAGATGAAAGATACAGTAGATGATAGATAGATAGATAGATAGATAGATAGATAGATAGATAGATAGATAGATAGATAGATAGATAGCAACAGCACCATAGCACTTTACAGCCCTCTCTGGGTGGTTTACAGTAGATAGAGATAAAGATAGCTAGCTAGTTAGCTAGCAGTCCATTGTATGTTTATCACAAGATATGTTTTGCTTTGTTCAATGAAATTGAACTTGTAACTATAGCCATATAAAAATTTGGAACTAAAGTATAAACAAAGTAGGCACAACATTAAATCCTTGTTTGCAGTAACCTTAAGTTTAGAAAAGTGTAGATTAACTTTAGTTTTCTCATCAATTGTAGGATTGTGATAAATGGATTGTATTTTTAAAAAGATGTTTCTCTTTCCATTTCTATGAAAATTGATCTCTGAGCCATTACCCCGAAAGAAAAACTTTAATGGCAACTTCACTTCCATAGCTGCTTCTGAAAAGCAATTTTTGCTAACAGCATATCATAGAGAGAGTTAAATCCTCTCCCCCAACAACATGATGGGGTTATGATCTGTTCCATATATAGTTATTTGAAAGCCAACTTCCAAGCACAGCATATGCATTTCTGCATTTAATGAAAGAATTGATTCTAGCCCCTGAAGCCTAGCTGATATGTATTTGTATCTTATATGAACTTTAGAGCTTCAAGTAATAAAAAGAAAAACGTAATTCAAAAATCACGTTAAACAGAGATTTTGGAATTGCACTGAAAGCATTTAAAATACTTCAGAACAATAGGCAAACCCATTAGAAATATGATGTTGTAAAAGATACTTGGTTGTTGCCATGGAGCTTAGTAATGAACCTGATCTTATGTGGAAAAGAAGGTGAGGGAGAGTTTCACACGTTCAGCCCAAACAAAACTTTCCCTGATTAGGAAGACAGCCTAAGAAGGAAATGCTCCTCATTGTCTGACTTGTGCCTGTCCTTATGACTCAAAAAGAAACAAAAAAAAAATAAATGAATATATAGTCCTTAGGTATTCTCCTTGCAGCTAGGAAGATGCAATCTATTCAGGGTTTATCCATTGTAGATTGTTCAGATGAGATTGCTCAGTTTTATCAAAGAGTAAAAAGAGATCAAGTTTTCCTGTTATAATATAGAACTTAACAATTTGATCAGTGCAATATTGTCTCTCCTGTATTGCATCTTTTATTTTATTGACTGTCACCATTTATAAGAGGTGTGGTTTGTTAGGGGTTAAAGATGCTGAACTTGTCAACCGGAAAGCTGACAGCCTGGGTTCGAGAACCGAGTGCTGCATGATGGGGCAAGCTCCCATTTTTGCTCCAGCTCCTGTCTACCTAGCAGTTTGAAAGCCTGCAAATGCCTGCAAAGTAGGTTAAAAAGGTACCATTTCAGTGGGAAGGTAAGAGGGTCCATGTGCCACGGCGTATAGTCATACTAGCCACATGACCACAGAAATGTCTTTGGACAATGCTGGCTCCCTTGGCTAAGAAATGAAGATGAGCACCGCCCCACAGAGTTTAAAACAACCAGACAAGGGAAATCTTTACCTTTACTTTACCATCGTCTATAGGTAATTTGTGTAATTTCTTGTCTTTCTTCCAACACGTCTTTGGCATTATGCTTCTAGCACAGGACTTTTAGTAAGGAAAATATTGTATCAGCAAGAGCTGTGTGACAGTGAAACTCTTTAGCAGGACAGATCATGGGCTACCCTTCCCTATATGTATTCAAGGACTGGACAACTGGACAAGTAGGGGAACTCAACTCAGTCTGCATGGCCATGTCTAGTTCTGTGATTCCATGACTGCTTGCCATGCATCAGATGAAATGGACTATGAATTACCCAATGTTATGTAATAATAAAAGCCAGTTTTCAAGATGTGAGGATATTCTGTGGCTTTTGCTGCCAGTATAATAACTATCTCTTTGAAAATCCCATATTTTTGGAGTTTCAGGATTCAGTGACGTGGAGCAGGGAGAGTTTAAAAAATATTTATAATTAGTTGTTTAAGACAATTCATACTACTGTTCATCATGAAGGGCAAGGGAAATATATGCCCTTTTGTAATTTCTACCGGTACTTGAGTTTGAAGACAACAACTTCCCATAATATTTTTCTTTAAATCCATTTGCTGTTTAATCTGTTATGTAGTACAGACATCTTGTATCATGTTTTAAACTATTCATCAAAACCCTACTTCTTAATTTTGTTAATGTACAAATGGTTCTTGGAAGGATTGAGACTAATGTGGAAGTAAATATTCTAAGGAATGAAATGCAAATTTTAAAAAACATCAGATCATGAAAAAAATGATGAACCGACATACAAAGCCTACATTAGACAGTTCTGCATCAATTTACTATATAATTACTATTCTGGAAATGTCAAATCTGAATGAAACATCTGTAAATTAGTTGGTTCCAGCATCAGAGAAAAACAATGTAGCGAAGTTGAACAGAAATTTTAAATGACATTTCTTTCTTTCCTTCTCTCTCTCTCTCTCCCTCCCCCCCACTGTCTTTTCCTCTCTCTGTATGTTTTAATTAGCAACGTAATGTACTGCAGTTGAAAGACTTATTATTTGATGCTTGGGCAGAGAAGTATCTTCATTTCGTTTTGTCCAAATACAACATGCTGCCTTTGTGACTGCTGACATTAATTATTGAGAAAGAGTTCTGAAATAGCGCATGTGTTCTGCCTGTAACATAAGATAGAGATGCAAGAAGGATTTGTGGGCAGGCAGTGATGTACCTGTAGCATTTCAGCTTCTGTATGCCTGAACTGCCATCATATATATACATATATCTATATCTATATCTATATCTATATCTATATCTATATCTATATCTATATCTATCTATCTATCTATCTATCTATCTATCTATCTATCTATCTATCTATCTATCTATCTATCTACACACATACATACATACATACACACATACACACACACACACACACACACACTCGTCTTGTAAATCAAATCATGGAAAGATGAGTCGTCATCAAGCTTACTTTTATCGTGTCCCTCCACAGGAACTGCACCGAAGGACACAACTTCAGCCTGAGCCAGCAAAGACAAAAGCTCTTCAAACAGTCATAGAGATGAAGGTATGGATGTTTGACTGTGTTTATTCCATGTAAGACAATGGCCACAGCGAGTGCTTGTTGGATGGATCTTGGAATTGTCCCTTGCTTTTATGGTACAGAATACATGGAATTGTGCAGTATATGTGTATGTCATGTTGCAATTGCACCATTTGTCTCCCAGAGAGTATGAATCAAATTTGTCTGATTCAAAAATGTTTCCTATTCAATACACATGACTAATGTCTGAAATACATAGGTTTGGGAGAAATAGGTTTTTTTTTTTAAAGAGATCTTTTAACATTTTGCAGTCTTTCCCCAATAAATGCAGTTTTCCCATTCTGTTTGCTTGATAGATGTAGCTGTTTTTCTAAACAACTTGCTTTTGACGTATTGTTAGAAAATATTTTGCAGAGATTTTTTTTAAGGAAGGTAGCAGTGTTCTTTACATTAACCATTTCTTTTGTCATTTTAAATGGTATCAAACAGGTAAATTATTCTCCATTCTATATTATGTTTACCTTTGTTGTCCTGAATATAGCCTATGTTGTTTCATTACATCCATAAATTATGAAACAAGTTACCCCAAGTTTAGGAAAATGGATATTGAATAAGATTGCAACTTTCTGATCTGATCGCATGACAGTAAATTATATGTTGATTACAGTAATGATAGCCCTTCCTACTTCTGGCAATCATCAGAAAAGGGTCTGTGGTTGAATAGGTGCTATTGATATACTGTAGGTGTCATGGAAATAATGGCCTGCAATACAATTTGCAGAACAGCAGTATATTGTTTCTTTTTAAAAATAATTTTCACTGAAGAATTTTATGCAACAGAATTTTCTACAATAAAAGTGACACAAGTTTAAGAAAAAGAGAAAAGAATAAAGAAAAATGATGAGCCGAGAAAAGGAAAAGAGGGAAAAAGAAAGAGAAAATATAAAGAAGAAGCTTCCAACTCTCTTTAAAGCAGTTAAAAATAAATTTATCTTCTGTCCTCCTCCTTTAAGATTATATCCTGATTCCATTCTTTCCATATTTTCTGCTTTCTAGTCATAACACCCATAAATCGCCAGTTCATTTTTTCCCTTTGGGTTTCCATAAAGTCATTAATAATTGTACTTGTTTCCTTTTGCCTAGTCAAACAAGTCAATTTTGCCATTCCTGAAAATTCTGTCCAAATTTCATTTAGTTTGTCCAAATCTTTCCAACTTTATGAATATAATAATCTTGCTCCATTACGATTTATAAAAATAATCTTCCTAGTGTCTTTTTGAATTGACTCTGTAAGTTGCAACAGCATTATTTTTTTTATAGTGGTACCTTAGTACTCAACTGCTTTGAAACTTGTTGAATTTGGTACTCAACGCATTTTGATGTGAACATTTTGTCCCAGTACTTATCGTTTCCTTGGCATTCAATACACAAGCTAGAACTTGTCGGTGTTGGCTGCCTTGTGATTCACTATACTCCTAATGGGAATAGTTTGTTTGGTACTCATTGTTTTTGATTCTCATCACGCCTCCCGGAACCAATTAATGATGACTAACAAGGTACCACTATACCTGAAAATCTAGTTCTGTTCTGCAACCCTATAATAAAAGTAATTTTAGCATTCATAACTTCGGTATCCGAGTTTGATCTATCTCAAAGGACTGACATCAGATGAGGTTGCAGCTTTTCCTTGTTGCCACCACAGGCTAATTAGGAATGGAGTGGAATTGCCACTGCTTCTTCTCTCTAGTCTCTGCTTTATTTGCTATCTCCTCCCTTCTTTATTAGCAATCAGACAAACAAATTCTTTCTCCAAAACACTAATAGCTACTGGTTCAGTTACTACCTTTTGTCACCACCCACATGCACTTCTCAGTTGCTTTGTCCCCTTTTCTCTTCATCTCTGGTTGGGGAGATTAATTATCTTCCTTGAGGTTTGTCATATCTCAGAAAACTTAGTTTCCTTGGCATATGTATTTTGATTGGCTCTCTGACTTATTTTACTCATTTCCCGTTCTTCTTATTTCCTGCTTACTTATAATTCCATTCATATTTACAGCTTTTATTTGTATTTTCCAGACTTTAGAATGACAGTTTACAGGCTTGCTTTCTTCCCCATCCATTTCCTTTCTTCCTGCAAGATTATCTGTAGTACTTCTTTCTCTTCCACCCTGCCTACCCAGCCATTTCTCCAGATTTTTCATACTTGCCTGGACTGAATTTCTTCCCTGATGTTTATCTCATTGAGTCCACCTAGTTAGCTCAATGAGAAAATGGGAAAACACAAAAACACAGATAATCTTTATGAGAATCAGATTTCCCTTCTTTGATCCTGGGAAGTCCTGATCCTCAGGGGATTCAAAACCCCATTGTATAGCTCCATGTTAACAATAAGAATAGAATGCTTAAATCAAAGCAAAAGATTACTCACTTAGATCCTCACTGAAATGATATATAAACTCACAAATATAAGGTAAGATTATGTACAGTGTGTAAAAAGGATATCTGATCTAGTTTCAGGAAGATTTTCCCTGTACTTCCAGAAAGCTAATTTTCAAGAACATAAATAGTCTTTGGAAAAGGCTATTTCATCTCCCGTCTTTCTTCTTCATTTAATAATCTACCTATCTGTCTACTTACCTATCAACCAACTTAATTTAACATGCATTGGACTCATTCTGATTTCTAGTCATACTTCAAATGTTAGTAAATTAAAAGCTTAATGTCTATACAAAATAAATGTAAAGACTTTGCTCATATGATCTTATGGATTTAGAAGTCACAGTCCATGCTTGATATATTTTCAAACAATTTCCATTATTACAAACGTATATTGTTTGTGCAGGCAGAAAAAAACCCAAGTCTATAATTCATTGATAATTACTTTCAACACATATACCTTGTGAATTTCTGACGGATTTATAATTCACATTATTATAAACTTCTTGTTAGTATAATATGGGAACAAGTGGTTGAAGGGTTGAAGGGTTTAACAAGTGGTTAAAAGGGTAGTTGAAATCACAATGTCTGAAATATTAAACACTTCCTTGGATGTTGAAACTGATGTTTTTTTTATCTTGAAGTTAATGGGACCACATATATACATAAATATGACTGTATGAAATGAATACTTGTATGTTGCATGTACATTTTTCTCTGAGAACATATATTTATACACATGCATGTATACATGCTTTATTGTGATTCACTAGAACACAGATTAACAATCATAAGTTCTAAGAAGTACTTTCCTGCTGCTACTTTATTCCAAAATGGGGAACCTAAATTTCTACAACATAGATAATAATTCAGTTCAACCATGTTCAACAGTTAATTCAAGCATGAGAAAGGGCACCAAATGTAAATTAAGAGACAGATGCACATGCAACTGTTAGGAACAAAGAGTTCAAAAGCAAATGCGTAGAGACTCTGGATGAAATAGGAAATAAAATGGAAAGGGAGATTCCTCTCTAAATACAGGTAGTCCTCGATTTACAACCACAACTGAGCCCAAAATTTCTGTTGTTAAGTGAGACATTTGTTAAGTACATTTTACCCCATTTTATGACATTTCTTGTCACAGTTATTAAGTGATTCACTGCAGCCTGTTAAGTTAGTAACCCGGTTTTAAGTGAATCTGGCTTTCCCATTGGCTTTGTTTGTCAGAAGGCTGCAAAATATGATCACGTGACCCCGAGGACACTGCAACTATCATAAATATGAACTGATTGGCAAATTTCTGAATCTTGATCATATGACCACAGGGATGCTGCAAAGGTTGTAACTGAAAAATGGTCTTGTTACTTTTTTCAGTGCCGTTGTTAACTTTGAAGTGTCACTAAACTGTTGTAAGACTACCTCAGCCTCCCTTTATTCCCCCCCCCATTTTTTTCTTTTCTGTAAATGCTCATAAGACATACAGTGCAATACTATCAGGTACATCTATATAAAAAGATTGGGGTAGCTCTACCTTTTCAATGTTGATCTTGGATATCAGAAGAACCATCACTTCTAAAGCCATGATCACATGCGAGCTACAGCCAAGTCTTAACTGGATATGTTGCATTGTTACCAAATACTTCATTTTCATTTTGGTGCCTTTTTGAGGTTCAAGTGGAGAGGAAATGAGGTAAGATAAGAGTTGTATGCTATTTACACAGTCAGGTAAACAAGGTAGTCTCATTTAAAAAAATTATTATACACCTTTCTAATGGAGGTTTATAATTTTTTTTTAAAAAAACAGTAATATAAAAACTGGGTTTCATATCGCAAGACAGGAAGTGAGCATATCCAAAATTCTTAAGCAAATGAAATGTTTTGTGGTTTACCCTTGCTTCTTGCAGACACAACCATCTTTATATATTGATCCTGCTGTGGTATTTCAGGTATGTTACAGCACTGCTGCTGAAATCTGAGTGTGTAGTGTGCAGTACCTAGCTTTTCCTTTGTTTTAGCCTCTTCTATCTCTGCTGTAGTTTTACATTAATTTCTAGATCGTCTCACAGTTGCAATATGAACACATTTATTTAGAAGGGGAATTTGGAGTGGAAAATATATAATTTCACCTGATCAGGACAGCTGCATGTGGTGTGCATAAAATTTGAAGAACAGATGATACACTTGTCCTCAGCTATAGTTAGAGTAAAACAAAATCTATGTGCTAATTAAAACGTAGGGTGACCTATAAGAAACATGACTTTACAAATTACCAACTACACAAAAATATATTATCTTAAGGTTTTCTTAAAGCTGCACGAGTCCCCTACGACTCATTGAACTTTCACAATTTTCCCTAGCCCAGGGGTAGGCAACCTTGGCTCTTTTATGACTTGTGGACTTCAACTCCCAGAATTCCTGAGCCAGCTGGGAGTTGAGGTCCACGAGTCATAAAAGAGCCAAGGTTGCCTACCGCTGTCCTAGCCCCTGTTTTCATCAAATGTGGACCCCATCACCATGTATGATTCAAACTTAATGGCAATAGCAATTTGCTCCAAGCTCCTCCCATACAAGATTCATAAACTTTACTTGGCCTATATAAGCAGGGATTCACCTGACTTCTCATGGATATAATATAATTATATTTATGTAATTTGCATATTTATAATTAATGCGATAATTGCCATTATATAATGACATTATACTTTTTTGTATATAAGAATTTTAGTTTATTAGACCTTCTAGAACACAGATAGACTCCAAATCTGTTTCATGTGAGATTTTCCTTTAGTGTCCCTTTTTGTGACTGCTTTGTGTGCTTTTTGCTCTCTTACAATATCAAACTTCACTATTTAAAGCTTATGGTGTTTGTCTGTTTTTTCCTGAATGTTTTAAATCTTTATGTCTGTTTTAGGAGCTTAAAAGAAAGCAGAGGCTTACAGTCAGTGGTGGGATTCAGCCAGTTCGCACCACTTCGGTAGAACTGGTAGCTAAATTTTTGTTGCCCAGGCCCAGAATGGACTTCTGGAAGCAACATCCACACAGAGAACCGGTTGTTCACTTATTTGAATCCCACCACTGCTTACAGTCTTTTTTTTTTTTTTTTTTAAAGATCATTAGATTTAGAAACAATGTTGTGGTTAGGCTACATTTCTACAACAGTTAATGATCTCAAGATTGCTTCCTCAGTTTTTGTTTTATTATTTTATTATTGCACATTAAAAACTACTTGTAATTCAGAATTACACTCAGAACTACCCCAGAAAAATATAAATAAGGTATTGCAGCACTATATCGCTCATATTTCATGTCCTTTAACCAAATAAAATATTACCTTGAAAATTATAGATGTTTTATTTGGCTGCTATCATCTATATTTATTACAAAGAATATATATTACAAAAAAACAAATAAAATAATAATCATAATAAACGTAACACACCAAACATAACTGTGCTTGAAAAGGAGAAAATATGGATAATTGATGTGGCAATACCAGGGAATGGTAGAATAGAAAACAAAAAATTGGAGAAGATCACAAAGTATCACAAAAATCACGAAGTATTAAAAGTGAAATTGAAAAAGTATGGGCTAAGCCTGCCTAGGTGGTTCCAGTGGTTATCAGCACATTGGGTGTCATACCAAAAAAGTTTGGACAGCACTTAGAATATGTGCACATTGACACAATTTTCATTTGTCAATTGCAAAAGGCCACACTGCTTAGGTTCACACACATACTATGCAGATACATTATGATGTCCTAGGTTCTTGGAAGAATTTGATGCTTATGAAGGCCAAATCCAGCTAAAGAATTGGCAGCTCTGATTTCACATTGTTGTGAACAGAAAATAATAAAATGTTTTATAAAAGGCCACACTACTTGGAACTGCACATATACTATGCGAATACATTGCATTTTCTAGGTTCCTGGGAAGAACTCTATATGTATGAAGGCCAATATCAGCTAAAAAATTGGCACCTGTGATTTCACCTTATTGTGTATACAATAATAAAATAAAGCCTATCAGGCCATTTAGAACATCTGTTCAAATGTTTTGTAGGGGACAACTGTCTGTTGGCTTCATGGGATCCAGATATAGTTTTGAGATGGATTCAAGAAGATACTACCATATATATTAATTAACTAATGTAATCAGTTTATTGTATCATTTAATTGAAATAACTCAGCATACAATAGGTTAGAAAATATCATAATCTTCCTCCAATGTATTCATTATGTATGTTCAGCATGTTCCAGTAGAATGTACATAACCCTGATAGAGTCAAGATATTCTATAGCTTTTGAGTTCCTCCAAAAGAAATTTGTCTGAATAAATCAATGTCAATTTTAAATACTCTGAATCCTCGACAGAATGCCTTTTCCTTTTGTTAAACAATGAGTTGGATTCAAAGCTGCACATGCAAAAATCTACTTGCACATGGAATCTTCTTGCTGTGGATGTAATTGTAGAACTATGTGGAGCATCTGGAGTAGTAGACAGGATGCATAGTTCTGTGACCCAAATTGGGGTAAACTTGCTACTGCTGAAATAGGAGAAATGTAAAACTATATGTGTACCAAATATGAAATGGTGGAACAAATCTTATTTAAATAAAGAACTTGTATTTTCTAAAATTTCTGGTTACATGTTAACTGATGCAAATGCCACTTCTAGTAAAACATTCCAAAGCCCTTCAAATGTAGAAGCTTCTAAGTGATTTGGACTGAGTTTAAATGCAAAGACACTATTTCCTATTCCTAGTTTGGCATCCTAACATCTAGAAAGGCTCTTTAAAAGATGCAGGTCTTGCAATGTGCTACAAAGAGAAGAGAAAGTTACATGGTGCAGCACTTCATTTTGGATTCTAAGAAAGCATTGAAGCCCATAGAGCCTGTAGAATGACTTTTTGGAAAAGCATGTTAAAGACGTAGAGACCTAATGAAAATATTCCCCCCCCCAAATGGCTTTATCCACTCCAATTCTGGGAAATGGCAAAGAAGAAACCATTTCTTCCAGCCCAGTGAAATAAAGTTGAAGGGGTTTTGTATTCAATTTCTCAGATTTAATCTTTGATTTTCAAGCTTAGCCAAAAGCTATGGAATTCCCAGAGGATCCAGTAATCTAATACTATCTAGAGCTATCCGTAATGAGCGTCTGAGATCAGCCTCTGTTGGGCAGTCTTTGAAATAAAAGTCGGATAGACCCAAAGATATAGCTATACGAAATTTAGAAAAAGTTGAAACTGCTATATTTTTATCAGTTGTTTCAGTATATATAGTATGTTTTTTTTTTTAAAAATCCAAATGAATCTCAAATATACTGTCAGTAGTTTTGGTTTTCATTTTACTCTTAATCTTTTTACAAAGGCATCTTTACAATGCCTTGGTAAGGCCACATTTGGAATACTGCATCCAGTTTTGGTCACCGCGATGTAAAGCAGATGTTGAGACTCTAGAACAGTGGTTCTCAACCTGTGGGTAGGGACCCCATTTCATGGGGGTCACCAAACAAGTCTGTCCGCCATTTTTCCCCCTTTTCTTTGGCCACGCCCCTGGCACCCGGTGATGTATAAGTGGTTGGGGGTCACCACAACATGGGGAACTGTATTATGGGGTCGCGGCATTAGAAAGGTTGAGAACCACTGCTCTAGAAAGAGTACAGAGAAGAGCAACAAAGATGATTAGGGGACTGGAGGCTAAAGCATATAAGGAAAGGCTTCTGGAATTGGGTATGTCTAGTTTAATGAAGAGAAGGACGAAGGGGGGACATGATAGCAGTGTTCCAATATCTCAGGGGCTGCCACAAAGAAGAAGAAGTCAAGCTATTCTCCAAAGTGCCTGAAGGCAGGACAAGAAGCAACGGGTGGAAACTAATCAAGGAGAGAAGCAACCTAGAACTAAGAAGAAACTTCCTGACATTTAGAACAATTAACCAGTGGAACAACCTGCCTCCAGAAGCGGTGAATGCTCCAACACTGGAAGTTTTGAAGAAGAGACTGGACAGCCATTTGTCCGAAATGGTATAAGGTTTCCTGCCTGAGCAGGGGGTTGGACTAGATGACCTCCAAGGTCCCTTCCAACTTTATTATTATTATTATTATTATTATTATTATTATTATTATTATTATTATTATTATTATTATTATTATTATTATTATCTTTTCTATATCATTGTCTCAGAAATTTTGAACCCTCCCTGTTATTCCTCATGGCTTTTCTTGATTTTGTAGTTATGTATTGTCCAGTGAATTTGATCTCTCTAGCAAAATCAGTGCAGCTTCCCTGCCAAATTTGTACAATCAAGCCTTGTTCATGAGAGCTTGTAAGTGGGTAGAGGACGGGATTAGCCGCTCACCCAATATTTCATCTGGAGCACTGCAAATGAATCCCTGCTGTGTTTGTTAATAATTCTGGAAACTGGATGGGGCAGAAAACTATACAAGTAGTCCTCAAGTTACAACCACAATTGAGCCCCAAATATATGCTGCTAAGTGAAAAATTTATTAAGTGAGTTTTGTCCCATTTTACGACTTTTCTTGCCACATTTGTTAAGTGACTGCAGTTTTTAAATTAGTAACATGGTTGTTAAATGAATCTGGTTTCCCCATTGACTTTGCTTGTCAGACGGTCGCAAAAAGGGATCATATGACTCTGGGACACTGCAACCATCATAAACGTGAGCCAGTTGTCAAGCATCCAAGTGGAAATCATGTGATCATGGAGATGCTGCAATGATCATAAGTGTGATAAATGGTCATAAGTCACTTTTTGCAGTGCTATTATAACTTCAGTTATTAAATGAACTGTTGCAAGTTGAGGACTACCTACACTCTCATTCATACAGCTCTCTCTCAGACCTCCTGGCTGAATGTATGGATATTTTTTTTTGCAACAATGGAGCACTCATATTTTCAGGCCAATGTCTGAAGAGGACTGAGGTTAGTCACATATTCACCAATTGTTCTGCCCAACATAAGAGAACAGACAATCTTCTCCTTTTCTGCCTGTTACAGTGAGTACTAGCATCCTTAATTTCACAGCAGCTGAAAACAGGATATCTATTTTTCTGCACTGTACACGCAGGTAGGGAAAGATTCCACACCCAAGTTGAAGGAATTTTAAAATATTTCCATTCATCTTTTAAGTTGGCTCCATGTTAGAAAGTAATGAAATAAGTGTGGTATAATGGTGGCTTTCATTTGGTTTGGATCTATTCCATTCTTGTTTTATCTTATTTGAAGAGACTGTGGCTTTTTATATCAGATGTGGTAGTGAAACAGATGTCTTAAAAAGGTTATAAACTTTAGCTGTCTCAATGCACAATAAAAGTATAGTTAGACCCAGATTTCTTGGCAGTTTTTGTCCATTTTCTTATATTTATTTTACTTTATGTTCTTTTATTGCTGTGTATTATAGCCTATGTTTCTATTCATAGTGCATTCAGAGTGGCTGTTTAGTGGCTTAGGCAAGTGAAAATTTTGACAATAATGTATATATTTTTATTCAGCTACATAATTATTACTGAACTTATCCCAGTGCTATTTAGAAGAGAAAGGGCTTCAGTTCCTTGTGCCAACTTAATTTTTTAGATTTATTGCTCTTGTATCACAAGTTATATGTCTGCTTTTCATATAAATAATTTGTGTAATAATTGCATACCAACACTTTCTTTACAAAAAATAGGACACAAAAATAGCTTCCCTGGAACGTAATATCAGAGATCTCGAAGATGAAATACAGATGTTGAAGACAAATGGAGTTCTGAACACAGAAGATCGAGAAGAAGAGATCAAACAAATAGAAGTTTACAAGAGTCATTCCAAGTTCATGAAAAATAAGGTATGTGAAGCTAAGAAAACAAGACTTATTAAGATTCTGATTTTTGAAGGAGATTGATGTCAACAAAAGATCTGAAGAGGAGTATCTAGTATTAAAGAAAACTTTCCTGGTAAACAAGGTAGATTTTTTTCTCATTTGTAATTCACTTGGTGAGAGAAGTTTCTACATATATCTTAGGTACAGAGGCAACCTTTGTTAGAGTCATGTCAAGCCAGTGTGAAAAATGTGCCTTGTTTTGAGGGCACTCCCTGAAGGAAACCATATTAAATTGCCACAGAACAAGTACTTTTGTCCCCTTGAATAAAAATCATGACAACAGCATTCCTGTTATCAGTTCTTGGCTATCTCTCCTTGCTGAATAATTACAGCAAAGGCACCTGTGGGACTGGAAAGCATTCAGAGGTCCTTCAGGAGATTTTCCATGTTTGCAACCAACAACCATCAATTGTTTTCAATGCTAGGAAGCAATGCCATTTATAACTCTTCAGTTAAGATATGATGCAAGTAGAATAAAATGACCATAAATGCAGACATAAAATGCTTGAGTGATGTCTCATATGTCTGATACCCAAAACTCTTACGATTGTTGTTAAGCATCCAGATTTATACTCTGTAAGACAGGTGTCCATATAAATGTTTTAAACAAATCAAGAAACAAGCAAATCTATGCTTCCTTGATTGTCGGAATTACTATGTATATGGTTCATAATGAATCATTTCATTCTGAGGGTTATATATTAATTGGAATCTTTTAACATAAAGAGAAAAATTGTAATGATTTTGTGAATAAGGGACTCAATGCAATAAATTCTCCCACTGTTACAGAGAAAATCAGAGCAAAATGTTTGTTGGTTGTTGGTCACAGCCATCTGATCAGTGCTTGGATAATTGTGCTTCATTCTGATGAAAGCCTGCCTAACCTCTGTCAGCAGCCCTGTCCTTCTGACAATTGAGATTTGTAGCAAAAGATCCTACTTCTGCCATTCATCACAGGACCTTTCAAGGTGGAAACAATATTTATAATGCTGTCCGCAAGAAGATCTCATTATACCCCATCTGTCTAACCTGAGATCACTGATAAAGAAACCCTGATAAATATAAGTTCTGACTGATAGTGAACAGTAGAACAAAGGTCCTTTCATGGTCAACAACTTAAGGTGTTATAATACTTTTCAAGAGGAAAAAGCTTGGATTTAAGAAATAACTATTTAAGTTCTTTCCAATTTAAATGGAAAAGGAGCATATGTTGCTAAAGGTAATCTATTGTGGAACACTGCTAACTAGGCTATAACAAAGTTTGTGTGTGGGGGTACAGAAGTCAAAGACATTAACAACAAACACGGTCTTCCAGATCCCCAAATATCTAGATGAAATGGAAAAATAGGAGCAGGTAATTTGGTTCCATCTTGCATGATTGCTTTTGGCTCTGATGGCAAATAATATTTTCAGAGTGTAGGATAGCATGCTTATGTCTCCAAGACAAAAAGATGTTGGAATTAGCAAAACACATACAAGTCAAGAAGCAACTTGTAAAAAAAAGATAATGATTGGGGTTAGGAGGAGAAAGCTACAACACCCTTTGATTGCCAATTAACTGATTTGATTGCCAATAAACTGATTGCCAATTAACTGATTGACATAATGAAAACTACTTAATTTTACAATATATGGGCATACTTAACCATACTTTCAACTGGGAAACTGAGCATCAAACTGAGATCAATCTAAGTCCAAAAACACTCAAGAATTCCTGGAAGCCTGACACTCAGACAAATCAGCCATCAAAGGGACATGTAGATAAACACCATTTATATAACATTAAAAAGAAACAATAAAAACTAAAAAGGGACCAGAAGATCAGAATATCTGCTCACCAGCAATCAACACCCAGATTAAACAGATTAGCATCAAGTTTAACATTAAACTAGGGGTCTTCGAACTTGGCCCTTTTATGACGCGTGGACTTCAACTCCCAGAATTCCTCAGCCAGGCAAGCTGGCTGAGGAATTCTGAGAGTTGAAGTCCACAAGTCATAAAAGGGCCAAGTTTCAAGGCCCCTGCATTAGACCAACAATCAAGCTGTAAACAATAACCCAATCAAGGAACTACCAGCTCAGACAAACAATCAAACAATAAACAACAGTCTAATTAAGGAATTACCAAGACCTCTCCCACCAGCACTGACAGGGCAAGCCACTAGTATACAAACAGAAATCAAGTCTACTCCCCTCTAGCACTAATGATATTACCTCATTGGACAAAGAAATTTCTGCAAGAAAGCAACCAAGCTCAGAAGAGCATGGAGGTCCCCACAATGAATTCTTAAATAAATCTAGTACTGTAGCACTTAAACATTTTTAAAGACTTATCTGGTTTGGTTCCACTATTTGAGGTGGATTAGATCTTGGGGCAGAAAGGTTTTATATGGGAACTACTAGGTTGATGAAAAATGTTTTTTAAAATTGCCCTTTTGGAATGAATGCAGAAAATATTATTCTTTTCTTGCTATGACATGCTGACACCATCATGTTCAAGATCAATTTATATGAGACTTCTCTGGAATGAGATTGTGCTGTGAGATTCCAGCATTGTAGAAAGAGGAAGGCAGGGTTGTTTTAGTTGATTTTGTTTAGACTGCCAAAGCTGTGGTTTATGAAAGGAACATCTTAAAATATTTCATGTTAGAATTTATATTACTATATCATGCAATTTGTTTTTGCATTCTGTTTGTATCATGTTTAATCCTAAGTATTCGTTGCAGAGTTGCACACCTCTCAGAAACAGCTGATTGGATTGGCCTGCAAATAATAAACAAATAAATATGCAGATAAGCAATAAAGAAAGGAAGGAAGTAGAAAAAATAAATGAAAAACATATCCCAGAGAATTTTCATGGCATTTTTTTACATCCCCAAATCTACCATTTGCTCGCCCTTTAGAGACATTACAAGAAACATTATTTGTTAAAAAGAATTTTACCATCTTGTATGAAGCAGGAAAGATTGATCAGAGTAGATCTGAAATGCTTTATTTTGTGAATGGCAAACTCTTTGCCAGCTTGCAAATCATGTTGAGAATAAAAAGAAATGTATAGCATACCTGAAATGAAAATGATTCCATATTCTTTGAACAATTGGCTATCAGAGTTTGGTGAGTTGAATCATCAATAAAAATAGGAAGATCCTTTGATAGAGATTAGGTTGTGCGATACCATCTGGGACTAATATAAACCACATGCTGCAGTAGGTATTGGTGTCAACTTTCCTTCCATTTGTATTGTGTAATATTACTCTCACCTTATTTTTTATTCCAATTTTGTCTGTTTGTCTGTAGTGACACATACAGGGTTGTCAGTTTTGTCGTCGATGCATTGGTGATATTACTCATTTTCACTTCTCCAAATGAATCATTTCTAAAATGTTGTGCATTTGAATATTATGGTTCAATTATATCCTTTAATAATTTATTTTGTGAATCTTTCTTTTTCATTGTTATGCTTTCTCTTTGATCCCAATTAGTTGTTCCTTTCTTCTGTGGTCTTTCAGGGCAGAATCTGCCTTCAATTACTGTAGTTTGAACTTCTCTAGTACGGGAAGTGCACTGAGACTTCATTCCTAATCATGTATAATCTTTATAAATTATTATATAAAAAAGATTTTAAAAAATCAAGCAGGATAATGGTTCTGATGTAGATATATGAGTTTGATTTTTGCTATAGATGTTTCACATGTGCAAGTATATATAATATACCTTTTGGATTTAATTCTGAAAGAATTCATTTTGTATTGTGAACTAAAAAAAACCAGTATGGAATTTACAAGAAACATCTCCTTCTAATGTGACTTGGTGGTATTAAAGCTGATAAATATTGTACTTTACTAATTTGGAACATGTGGTCTGAGCAGTATAAATCTGTGATTAAATTCCAGATTTTGTTGGCCACCATTCTAAACCCTTTTCCATTCTCAAAATGTAGTGTAGAATGAACGAAATCCACAACTAGAGAAAGATAGCTTCAAACATTTCCTTTCTGCTGTTCCAAAAAGGTTCCATACCCATTTGCACTATTTAGGTGACCCTCCTCAATGACTCTCAGAAAGAGGGCTAATGACCAGATGACTGCAAGAAATATAAATCCTTCCATTCCCCACCATTCAGTAAGAACTGAAGAAACCTCTTGGATGAGAAGCAAAATGTCTTCTAGGAAAAACAAAGGGGCCTCTTGAAAAAGCATCTTTGAGGCAACCATGATCTGGATGACTGAGAATCTCTGTAGACACGTGGCTTCAGACACAGTCAGAGATTCTTTGCTGTTTGAATATTTTATTGCATATGATTTTTGAGGAAACCTTAACAAAAAACTTGGAGTCTTAAGTTTATTATGATTGTGACAATGCAAATCTATATAGGCACTGAGTAGAGTTTTCCTTCACAATTATCTATTCTTTGATATTCATGAATAAAATCAATTCACCAGTGTTAAGATCATATAAATCCCTTACATTACTGATACTGATAAGATTTTTTTTTCATTCCCTATTGGAATGAAATTTTTTGGGAGCTAACTGGAGATGCCAAGTTCAGGCAATCTTCTTCCTGAGCCCTTCCTCAGTCTCATGTGCATTAACTACTGCACATTAGTATTATATGTTTATGTATGTGTATTACTTACTGTACATGTAATGTGGTCATTCAGCTAATTTTCATGTTCTTTGCATGGTTTTCAAGAGGATAAAGACTGTAAACAGTAGGAAAACCACAAATTTACAAATTTATTCCAAACACATTTGAAGTTTTATATTTAAAGCACAATCATACATACAGGCCATTATTAAAAAAGTCAATGTTCGAGTACTGAGAGGCAGTATTGGTAACACTGTGAGAATCATATGAATCATATACCTGCTAAATTGTCACAGGAGCTGCTTGGGCTTCCACTGATTCCATAATACTGGTTCAACTGAATATTAAAACAGTGTCCTAATAATAAAAGCAGTTTGATAGAGAATGAATTGCTGAGACCAGGTGAGATTGCTGGAAATGTTCAAGTGGAGGCTAGACAGCCGTCTGTCTGAGATTATTTTAATTTGGATTCCTGCACTAAGTAGAATGTTGGACTTGGTAGCCTAAATAATTGATTAGATTATTATAATGTTCTAATACTTAATAGCTTGTTCCATGTAATGGCCAGTTATTGGGAGGAGGGCAACAGTATTTTGATTGGCTTCCATTGACTCAGTTGTGGAACTTCTGTATTCAGAAATACCTATAGATTTAGGACAGAAGAAACAACATAGCTGTAGTTTTTCCAAGATTATTATTTTGGAATATTTTACTTTCATTTTGTATGTTACCTCCAATTTGTTTAAATCATGAACAGTAGTCCCAAAGTTGATCAAATTAAATATAAGTTGTCCATCTGAATCTAATTCAATATGCTTTGTCAACTTCTCCACTGCCCCGAAGGAAATACAGTGTTTGTTAACATTAATTGTTCTCCCTTTCATTTTTTGCAGATTGACCAACTGAAGCAGGAGCTTTCAAAGAAAGAATCAGAACTTCTTGCCTTACAAACTAAGCTTGAAACCCTTAGCAATCAGAATTCAGATTGCAAGCAACATATAGAAGTGCTTAAAGAGTCACTTACTGCCAAAGAACAGAGAGCTGCCATACTTCAGACAGAGGTAAGGTAGTTTCTTAGCATCTAATAATTATTCAGTATAATTATTTAATTAATGGGGTGTGTCTGAATTAAAGATGACATTCAGGTTACAAATCTGTGCAAAAGACAAAACCTAACTTAAAAAAAATGGCTCCAAATTAGTAAAATAGTTTGATGCCAAGACCAGCTTTTTAATATTTGCAAATTTTCTACTAACCTTGCTAGCAGATGGGTTTTTTTGTTGAAATTAGAAGATTTCAGCAGGAAACCCACAATAAGTATATGTACCTACAATTTAATTTATCCTTGCTGCTACAATTATTTTCATTTATCTTTTTTATAAGAATGCTTCAGTTAAACCTATGGAATTGGCAGAAGGATATATAGATTAGTAAGAAGAATTTAGTAACTGTAAGAAAAAAATGTTCAAAAGAAGAGCCAAATGATTAATTAATGGGGAAAGATTCTTCTGACTTTTAAAAAGGTTAATATTTCTAATGGGTGACCTTTGAATTTGCTCAAAGCTGTTATTGCAAAGAAAGCATTGTTCCATTGCTGACATCTTCCACCTCTTAAAAGGGAAATTGCATAAGGTAGACTTAACATTTCCCCCTTATTTTGGGAAAAGTTGCATCAGGAAAGAAATTTGGAAGAAAAATAAAGTCATCTAGGGAATTATTCAAGTATTCTCCATCTCCTGCTCCAAGGTGGCTTGTATATTGTTGTTGAGGATGTGTTTGTGCATATTCAAAACTTGTGTTCCTTGTTCTTCTCTCCCCTTTTCCCCCAACTCTGTTGCTTTTCAACTGCTAAATTTCAGTTTCCTTTTGCAAAATCTTGAGTACAATGGTGACTTTGAATAAAATTATTCACCCAATTGCAAGGGGTTACATGTGCATTGTCGTCACGGCATAATATATCAAAATCTAATTTCCAAAACCATACAATAACTTACCAAGAGCAACAGAAACTACTAAGTTCAATTCATAAGGAGGTTGACAAGTAGCGAAGACTGCAGCAGAGATATAGTACTCTCCTTTACTAGCTGTGATGATGGCCAGGCCTAGGAGTGGAAAATAGTATATTAAAACAGCGTATTAAAAATCATGTTGAGGTTCACTGACTCTATTGTCTGCATTTTATTTTCTCTTATATTGATGGGGTACATGTTGGCATCACCGAATGATGCAAATGCAAATTGAATTTATTTGTTGCTTTAAATTTGAGGCAGAAAAGCTTAAGAAAAATAGGCCAGTTGTTTGAAACTCCATGCATTGTTGAGGGTGTTAATTATAGTTTTGGGATGTCCCTTTGCATTGACATGGACTTTTAACCCATGATTCTGTGATGTTTTATAATAGAAATTACATTTAATCTCTTATTTTAAGATCATGCTGGCACAGTCATTTAGTTTATTATTCATTAAAGTTGGTGACAAACAATGTGAAATTGCTAGTCATGTTTTCTTAAGCAGTCTGTAGGGACTTGGTAATTAATTACTTCATACAGTCTCAGTAATTATAAGAACTATTATTAGAGCAAATTAAGCAGGAAATCAATTGAAGCACAGTTTCAATTTGTAGAGTATCGCTGACGTTTCCTCATTACTATGGAAGTTGCTTTTTAAACATATAGAACCATTTGTTTGACTACAAACCAAGTGTAAAATTAATAGTCATTTGAAAGGACATGCTGTAAATGTTAAAACAGGACCAAAGTTAATGAAAATGATTCCATAATTTTATGAAGAACTGCTGACATATACCATTTTGTTGTATGTGTATACTGTGTATACACATACAATGACAATAAAGTTTATTTATTTTATTATTTATTTATTGATTGATTGATTTTTTTAATGAAACCAAAACAGAAAATAAGGTAACATTTCAGGTGCCTTGATTTTAAACAAATACACTTTTAATGCAAATTATTTTTAGGTACTAGTTACTTTGCTGTTCTTTGTAGGAAACAGGTAAACGGAAGTGCAGAGAAGCCTGTTTCTCAAATCTAATTTAAATAGCACTTAGCAATAGCTAAGACTTATATACCACTTCACAGTGCTTTACAGCCCTCTCTAAGTGGTTTACAGAATCAGCCTACTGCCCTCAGCAACTGAGGTCGTCATTTTACCAACCTCGGAAGGATGGAAGGCTGAGTCAACCTTGAGTTAGTGAGATTTGAACTGCCAAACTGCTGTTAAACTTATTATATATCAAAAGCAGCTTTTGAATCAATTTAATGGGTTTATCACCCTTGTAAAACAGATTTATTATGTAATATATGCATGAATGTGTGTGTATGAGTAAGTAGGTAGAACTGGGACCTTTTGAATTTACAGTGTTTCGTTTCCTTGTGTTATGTCAATTAATGTTACAGGATGAAAAAAAACTCTATGCCTGCAACATGCTCTAATGCTCTTGGATAAGATTTCTTCAGTACTATGTTGGGATCCTATAACTGGATAAGACTATAGTGTATTTCAGTTGTCTTGGGGCATTTCCTTATAACAAATACTAAACTACCTGCCTTTTTTGGGGGGTGTATGTATGTGTGTATGACTGCAACTATCTCAGATAATTAGAATTTAGGATCTGATGTTATGCATAAGTCTTGCTGAAGATGTTAGAAATAAGCCATGTTCACTCAAATTTCAATTATACATGTGAGCACTCAATTTCAGAAGAGGAATTGTGTATCAAAAAATTGAAAATTGATGAAGAGGAATCTGGAAAAAGAAATAGAGAAGGGACAAAACCTCTCAGAATGTCTGTGGAAACAATTGAAATTTGGCAAATATTCCATGAAAAAATATCACCAAAAGGATGCCAGAATGATGGATGGACCAAAATAAAGAAATTATCAGAGGGTTAGAAAACTTTATTTGTAAAACTGCCCAAATGAGAACAAAATGAAACACAAACTGCATAAATGCAAAGTACAAAATCAAAAGAAGGAATAAACAACCCCCCACAAAGGGTTTTATTTCTTTCTTTATTTCTAAAACATATGTAAATTCCATCAAAAATGAGACTTCTTTTTAATAATTTTTAGAACTATAAAAACAGGGCATCAAGGCAACTAGATCACTGGATAAAGACAGATAGAAGGCAGCTGTTTTTATTGGAATATTAAAAATTACATAGTATCTGTCCAGGTAGTTATCTCTAGAACTCTTTTTAAAAAATGAAATATGAAATTTTGATGTAAAATGTGACCTCTAACAAAACTCTGCAGTTTGTCCCTAACACTTCTCCCCTTAGAAGTTGGGAAAGTGGCCACCAGACATGACTGCTGTATTCTATGTGAGATAAAGGCCACGCAATTCTAAATACCAGTTCATAGGAAGCAATAGCACAAGAAGTCATAGTTTGTATGTTCCATGTATGGGTTTCTCATTACTGCTTGTTACACACTGTGGGAAACTGGTTGCATTGGAAATTATTGTTTCTTAGAATTTGGAAAGTATGCCTCAGGATATTCAGGCTAAAATTTGCAATTGTCTGTTTTGTAGTCATATAACACTACTGACTTATATTTAGTATTTAATCTATTGCTGTTCCATTCCCCCCCCCCTTAAGTATTATTTTCGATGTCTGTCACCACCATTCTTTACCAATTTATTTGGAAAATTGATATAGGTGGCCATCTCACGTTTATGACTTTGAGTGGTATACAGAGTTAAAAATACAGAACAAAGCAATAAAATAATAAAAACCAGCGGAAAAACTCAAAATTCATTTGAATGTGATTGGTGAGATGTTTCAATCACTTACTGATATAAATTCATTGCAATTCAGTATATATATGGCTTCCTTTAAATTCGGATCCCTTCATTTTGTGCATTGTTTCTGATCTACTATTTTTAATGTTACTTATCATGATCAAGAGTTTCATGAGGGCCTTTTTGGTGTGTGCATATACGTCTATATTGATTCAGTTTAAAAATATTTCTGCAAGATAATTAGGATTCTGAATCAGTGTATTTCTTAAGTGATCAAAGGCAGAAATGTCTTCTAGTAAAAAGAAAAGATTTTTCAGAAGTGTAGAAGTGTAGTGGATGGGCTTTTGTTAGTTGTCCTATGAACCCCCAAATATGTGCTTAGGCACATTTTGATTGAATCAATCCAGTGATTATGTTATATCAAAGATACTAACAGATAGTCAAAAAAGTTGTCATGGTAATATACATATTTTTTTTCTAATTATTGTAATCCTTCCACTCCAACTAATATAGGCAGCATCTGTTATTTTTCAAAATGCTAACTTTGTTCTGATTTGGAAACCAGACTGAAAAACAGAATGTGTAACATAATAAACATAAAAGAAAGAGAACTACGAAATGAGGTGGATGATGAATCATTTCAACTAGAGACACAGATTCATTGTTAACAATGTCAAGAAGCTGAAATGTGAGACCAACTATATAATCAATATCTGCCCCTTTGGTTTTTTTTTTTAAGAAAGACTTGATTCTACTTTTCACTGATTTTAGCCAATGAAAGAACAATAATAACAACAATTCATATGCATAACCTCAATAGAAGGAAGGCCTTTGTGTGTGCTTTTTAAAAAAAAAACACAAAAAACCTTACCCAATAGAAACAGGCTGTAGTATCATAAAGACTAGTTAATAAATCCAGGCCTTTGGTGTAGCTGTGACTGAGTAGCACTTGAAGTGTCTCTTCAGCAACAAAACAACTAAGAGCAAAAATGCTGAAAATAAATTCTGCCAAGAATATCCCTTAATTTACATTTCTACTGCAAATTCTTGTGATCTTCTCCGCAAAAAACAAACAAACAAAAAACAAAACAAAAAAAATGTCATCAACTGACAGAAGATAATTTAGTAGAACAAACCATCAAACCAGAATAAACAGAATAATGATATGAGAGTTGCACTGGTTCTCATTTCTTCTGGGCCCATTTCAAGATGCTGGTTATCATCTTTAAAGCCCTTTATGCCTCATTACCTTCAAGCTGTGGTGTTGGAGAAGGCTTCTGTGTGCATTGCTTGGACAG